ATTGATTTGCTATCAATTATTAGTGTTATAACAAAGTGGAAGCAACTGAGAACAACAGCAACTCAGCCACGAAGTGGTAGGCCATGTAAAATGACAGAGCGGTGTCAGCGCACGCGGGGTCAGCACAGTGCACAGAACTTGCCAACTGTCTGCAGAGTCAATAGCTACAGACCTCCAAACTTTGTGTGGCCTTCAGATTGGCACAACAACAGTGCGTAGAGCTTTATAGAATAGGTTTCCATGGCCGAGCAGCTGCATCCAAGCCTTACATCACCAAGTGCAATGCCGGATGAACCAAGTGTCGGATGCAGTGGTGTAAAGCATGCCGCCACTGGACTCTAGAGAAGTGGAGACATGTTCTCTGGAGTGACGAATCATGCTTCTCTGTCTGGCAACCCAACGTGTTTGGGTTTGGTGGTTGCCAGGAGAATGGTACTTGCCTGACTGCATTGTGTAAAGTTTGGTGGAGGGAGGATTATGGTGTGGGGTTGTTTTTCAGGGGTTGGACTTGGCCCCTTAGTTCCAGTGAAGGGAACTCTTTTAAGGCATCAGCATACCAAGACATTTTGGACAATTTCATGCTCCTAACTTTGTGGGAACAGTTTGGGGATGGCCCCTTCTTGTTCCAACATGACTGCGTACCAGTGCACAAAGCAAGGTCCATAAAGACATGGATGAGCGAGTTTGGGGTGGAGGAACTTGACTGGCCTGCACAGAGTCCTGACCTCAACCCGATAGAACACTTTTGTGATGAATTAGAGCGGAGACTGTGAGCCAGGCAAGGTGCAACATCGGTACCTGACCTCACAAATGCGCTTCTGGATGAATGTTCAAACATTCTCATAGACACACTCCTAAACCTTGTGGACAGCCTTCCCAGAAGAGTTGAAGCTGTTCTAGCTGCAAAGGGTGGGCCAACTCAATATTGAACCCTACGGACTAAGACTAGGACGCCATTAAAGTTCATGTGCGTGTAAAGGCAGGCGTCCCAATACTTTTGGCAATATAGTGTGTATATAGCTTCCAGTGGTAGTGCATTATGGATGCATCCACTCGCTGAAATCTTCATTTAAGGGCTTCCTTGCCCACTTTTATTAAATGAAAGTTCACAAAACAATGTGATTGTTTAGAACCCCTGTTTTCGCAGGGGTTCTTTAGCATCTCTTGCACAGGAACACATGCACATCCAGCCTCCTAGGTTTGCATTTGTAGCACCGCTGCTCCGGCTTTAGACCTCAGGCCACTATTTGTTCCTCCAGACAGTCTCAGTCTTGTGCTAACCTGCACACTTGTTTTTTTCAACCCACAGCACCCTGCTGCACTGGACTCCACTCTGACTCCTGGGTGGCGTTTTCCTGTCTCCCATTTCATCTATGCCCATAGACCTCAGCATGTGTACTAAGCGGTTATGTGGTACCGTGTCAAACGCTTTTGAAAAATCCAGATATACCACATCCACGTGCCTCCCTCCATCCAGATCTCTACTTACCTCTTCGTAGAATGTTAGTAGGTTTGTCTGGCAGGAACGGTCCTTCCTAAATCCATGCTGATTATCATTTATTATAAAATTTTCATGAACAAACTCTACTAAGTAGTCCTTTATCATTCCCTCCAACAGTTTGGATACTATTGATGTTAGACTGAATGGTCTGTAGTTCCCAGGTTGGCATCTTGACCCTTTTTCGAATATCGGTACTGCCGTAGCTTTCCGCCAGTCACTTGGTACTCTACCAGTCATTAAGGAGTCCTTGAAAATGAGGAATAATGGTCTCGCTATAACATGGCTGAGTTCTTTAAGTACCTTGGGGTGCAGGTTATCAGGTCCTAATGCTTTATTTGCAATACGTTTTTCAAGTCTATGTTGAACCCCGAATACCGTCAACCACTGTGGTAAATTTTGCAATGAGCCGCTCACATTCTTATCTACATTAAACCCGTCTTTTTCCTGAGTGTATACTGGTGAGAAAAAAGAATTCAACACCTCGGCCCTCTCCCTGTCGTTTGTGATTAATTTCCCGTTTACATCCTTCATTGGGCCTATCTGCTCTTTTACCTTTTTACTGTTTATATATTGGTAGAATTTTTTTGGGTTCCTTTTACTGACTGTGGCGATATGCTTTTCACAGTCTATTTTTAATATGAGTTACATGTTTACTCCTTTCTGGCGCCCCACTACTTTTTTTTTATTGGACCTTGGTATGGGTGATACCTTACTAATTTGATTAGCTGGAGCGATTAAATTAACTATATTGACTACATTGACTGGAGTGAGCCCTCTGTCCCCCTTTTATTACTGCCCTCTGTATTAATTGTCCCTTTAGTTACTTGTTCTATATTAAATGTATCTATTTTTATTCCCTCCCCCATTATCTAGTTTAAAAGCTCCTCCAGTCTTTTAACCATTTTCCCCCCAAAAGTGCTGCACCTTCCCCATTAAGACGGGCTGTCTTGGCTTTAGAGCCGGTAACTGACTGAGAAGTCAGCCCAGTTCTCCAGGAAACCAAAGCCCTCTTTCAGACACCAGCTCCAGAGCCACTTGGTAAGTTCCCTCAACTCTCGCTGTCTCTCTGGAGTGGCTTGTGGCACCGGCAGTATCTCAGAAAATACTACCGTGGATGTTCTATT